ATAAGTAAACATAAGAGTTATCTATACGAAGGGTTTCCATTAGCAGCTGTCCTAAAGAATTGAAACCATGGAAGTGACCATCTCAATTTCTGTTCGTATCCTCTCTTAACTTCAAGAACAGGCACTCAGGATTCCAAACACCATCCTTAAAATAGCAATGGTAGTTAGCGATCACTTAATTTGGAACATAAAAACGAACAATTGGGAAAAAATTATAATTTTGAGAGAGAAAACATGTCCTCCTTCCATAATACATTTTTAGTACAGAAATTTTCACAGATAATAGGATATTCATACACATTTTTTTTACCAGTCCCAAGCATATTTTATTGCATTTAGATGGGAGTGTCATTCCCGCTAAGCAAGTAACCCTTTTAATTTCAATGGGATCCACTTCTGAGTAGTTAGGGAAAAAATCCTATAAAGATATAAAATGCAATGCTAAGCAATGTAAAAGTGCCTTTATTTTATTTGAATATTATGTACAGTTATACCAAAAAGTTTAAAAAAATAAACAGCAAGCAATGGCAGCCAAGAAACAGATTTTTTTTTTAGTTGCTAATAGCTGCATAATGGGGGGGGGGGGGAGAATCTATCCAAAAGAGTTCTTAATCATTTCAATTTAGACATTTTCTCCATAAACTCAGTCATGAAAAAAACATATCTATGTATAGAAAGCAAAGATTTTTTTTTCAGAAACCATTTTCAACTTTCTTATACAGAAAACTCTCTCTGGCCTAATAGAAAAGTCTTTGAGTTATAGATTGACAGTATTCAAGTGTTGTAATATTTTAATATTATATAGAATGTTGCAGTTGTAATTCTAAGGGAAATGCTAATACAAATATGTTAAATGTGTATTTCAATCATATATCAATTATACAGAAATTGGGAAACAATTCAGAAAATGTACTTTAGAGTATGAGCATATAATGCCAGTCTGCAACACTTTATAGCAGGGGTGTCTTTTCTTGGGTTTGTATAGTTATACTCTGCTCCTGTTACACGATCACAGAAAATGATGTACCTACTTTAAAGAACTGCAGGAAGATGCTACATTCATACTCCATAAACGCCAGTTGCGCCCTTTCCTGGATCGTGACGCCTTGCGCACACTCACTCAGGCCCTCGTCATCTCGCGCCTAGACTATTGCAACGCCCTCTACATGGGGCTCCCCTTGGGGAGCATCCGGAGGCTCCAGTTGATCCAGAATGCGGCTGCGCAGGGGATTTTGGGGGCTCCTAGGAGCACCCATGTGACACCTCTCCTG